CCAGGAAGAGTTTCGTTGCATGAGTTGCACCTCCCTCGAAAACACACCACCCATTCTCACATCAAATCCTGAGGATGACGTTGTAACATCGAAACATGTAGAGTCGTCAACTTTTTGAAGGCCATAGATAGGCCTAAATAAAATGTTTTTAATTGTGTACCAGTTTAACATTGAATATTATTTATGATGTGCTATAAATTTTTAAGAATGCTTTGACTTCTCATTGTACCTGAGCTTTCAAACATGAAAATAGCTGTTATTGTAGAGAACTTTATGTAAGTAGTAGAAGTTGATTTTGTGTCAACTTATAAGTAAAACACCACAGAGTATGTAATGACAGTTAAGAAAAAAAATTTCCTGAAATATATGAATTAGTAAAATTTCCAATAATCATGAGCCAAATGAACTTCAAAACTTTTCTGCCGCCCTGGGTTCAATTCCCTGGCATGAGCACAGTAGATAGCTCAATGTGATTTTGCTTCTAAACAAACAAATGAAACCTTTCAGAAGAAACAGCATATCATTTATTGATAACAACACAGAACTCTGTGAGAGTATGTTACATATCAAGGACCTACATGAAAAACTGTAATTTGTTTTTTAAACTTGTCATTGGGAGTAAATAAATGAATAAAGAAAGCACAAAAAACACAAAGATGGTTTAATTTCAAATATATTAAAATGCAGGTGTAAAATGAAAAACTTTTAAACAGAATCTCAGCACTTAAAGATGTGTATCAACATAACCACCATAGTGAAATTGTGAGACAAAACATAAAGACAAACCTAAAAATTAATTTTAGTTATACTTGGAAATCCATATTAGATACTCTTTATGTTGCAATTATCAAATTGAAAATGATACATGAAATGTTTTCTTCTATGACACTCAGTGTTCCCTCTAAGATGCGTGATGCACAACAAATGATCAAGTGCTGTGCACTTCATTATTCCAGCTGCACACAAACTCAGTAATGGTGAGGAGTCTCACTACATTGATGGCCTTAATGACACTGGCAATCAATAGGCCTAAAGTCCAAATAACCAAGTGGTAACTTTGCAAAGCAGCCTAATGATCCAATAGGGTCAATGGTCTAAAAAATACTCCACCCCTAAAAAAACTGGTAGTGCACATCTGCACATTGCCTTGATACTAGTGCACATGAAAAGATTAGATGGAACATTGATGACATTTATTAATGATGTAATAGTTAGCAACATTTGGTAACAGTTAAGACTACCTTCTGTTTTATTGTAAACATAGAATAATATTTGTTGTAATATCATTGATACTTCATACAGTCTGTATACTGTTCTAAATTGCATTAAGAGTCATGAATTATGATATAAAACCTGTATAAATTGTTGGAACTTACTGGCTAGTTTGTTAGGACCCCAGCCTAATATTGGGTTTCATCATGTTTTGCTATAAAATTAGTTTGGACTCAGCATCACCTGTACTCGAAGGTACTTTGTTTGATAGTAGCTCACTTATCAAGAAATGGGGTTCATTTGGTTCACAGATGTCAGTATAGAATTAAGTTGTAAATGTAACATTCAAGTTCATTCCAAAGTTCCTCAATGAGATTGAGATGTCTAAAGTTACTGTTATGATCTTTTAACAATTTCACAAAATTCAAACGTAGTGGATTTTTGACTCATTATCTTGGAAAAGCCTTTCTCTATCAAGTATAAATGCAGTATTATGGTTTTGACACAACTGAAAGTAATACTCACACACACACACTGTGGATGCTATTTGCCCATTTAAAGGAATCAGAGGAAATTTTAAGTTTCTTACTTACTGTAATTCATGCTCTAAGCACTTACAAAATCATGCTTTCCCATTTTAATCTGAGATAATTTTCTACTGGATGTCAGCTGCCACATTATTTCTGTTTTTAACATGTTTCCATTTTGTGGTTACAAATAATCAAATTTTGTTGAGTAACTAGGTGAAATGAAACCCAATTAGATGATTCTTTGCACTTAGAAAGCCTATCCAATTGTCGTTTCTTTTGGTTTGGTTTGTTACCAATAGTTATAGTCCTTTCCTGAAATTGGATGTATTCCTTATGATTTCCATGGTTGATGACAGATGTTTTTGAACAGTTAACCAAAAAAATGATGATTGGTGAAGATGTTCATGACAGATGGTTACCCATTCTGAAGCCTCTTTGAAAGAACCTTGTTTTTTCCTGTTGTATTGCAGACTAACTCTGATATGTCTAGTTATCTGCATTTATAAGATGAAGCAGCCACCTGACATAATACATTATCAGTACATTTTACATATGCAAGTAAATAATTCTATGAATGTATGTGTGAAGGCCTTAATATAGTGGCCAGTGACATTTATGTATGTTTTGCAGGATAACAAAATACCTGTTTACTAGAAGTCTTATGCATGAATATATTTTAAGTTAATACATACATGATTTTATGCTTCATACAAGACTTTGAAAATATTTTTAGTTTAGTGTCTAATCAAATTGGAAATATGTAATATTTGATTGTACATTTCTTGTATTAAAAAAACTTCAAAAAGTAATAGTTGCATTGAAAAATATTTTAAAAAATTTTACAACTTCATTCTTAGATTGTTAATTTCTGAAGTACTGTAACTTTAAACTTCATTCAACAATTGAATTCTTAAACTATTTGAAAAAAAAGTCACACAGAACTATTTTTATATGAAAATATATTTATAATGTCATTAAATTAAACATTTTGACATACATGCATTAATATGTTTGTAAATCTATATATATCTTTTAACTATAAGAACATTTATGTTTTTATTGCAGGGACTGAAAGCAAACTTAAAGAGACTGTACTCTCTCATAACAGAGTCCCAGGCTAGCCAATGTCAACAAAAAGAAAAGTACCAAAAGCTTCTTTTTTGTCTTTCTTTCTTCCACTCCATTCTTTTGGAGCGTCATAAATTTCAACAACTGGGTTGGAATGTTATGTATAGTTTCACTGACTCTGATTTTGAGGTGTGTGCAGTGTTTTGCCTTTATGTTTATTTATCTCTGTGTGCTTAGAGCTCATCTGTTATATCAGGTACTAATTTATATTTAGTGTGAATTTTTTCCAATGGTTGTTCTGTATAGCTTTTAGAATTTAGAACTTTAGATATTATACAATAATAACACTCTATCTTTTTATATCTGCATCAAAAATTGTAATTTTGAAACTTAGAAACATCTAATAAATCATCAAAATAAGTAAAATTTTATATTTTAATATTATTATTATTTTATTTATTCAAACTGCTTCTACAATCAACATGTCATGTTTGTGTTCAATTTTTAGATGTCGGAGAGCATTCTACGTCTGTATTTGGATGAGTATGAAGAAACCCCTTGGGATGCTCTTAAGTATCTCATTGCAGGTATCACTTATGGAGGCCATACAACTGATGAATGGGATAGGAGGCTACTCTTTACATATATCAATAAGTATTTTTGTGATGATGCAATAAAAGTTCCTTTCTACAAGTGAGCAATCCCTTGCTGTTATACATTCTTCTTCAATTTACATCATGAAATTTTAGAATTTTTTGGTCATTAAAACTGCCACAAATTGTGAAGTCCAGTTGTGGGAGTAAGCTTTGATTGTAATCCTAAATGCTCATTCCTACACCACAGAAGCCCTTTAAACATATTACAACATGTAGCTTTAAACAGACATACATATGGTAAAATATAGTTTTGTATCAAAATATAATGAAAAATTGTTTTCAATGTGGAAAATTCTCTGGATGATTTAAGATTTTTAGCTAAAGTGAAATAAAAATGCAGATGTGATCTGAAATAAAATCTACTCAATTAAAAAATTGTTTATTTTTCACTTATGTTTCAGATACAGCCTTTATCAGAAAGACAAGATACTGCTTATGTTGAGTAATATTTTGTCTTCATGTTAAAGATTGTTTAGTAAAAATGCAAGTGAAAAATTAACAATTTAAATGTTTTGGAGTTAATTCTATGATTTTATTTAATACTGTGTCAATTCTCCAATTTGGATTGCAAAAAATAATAGAGCAAAATATGTTATTTTGTATTCTGTGAGGTCTCTCAGTTTTAAAAAAAAAGTTTGAAGTTTTCCTGCCAATTAAAGCATTCCTTGTATACTTAAGCTATCTGTTACATTATTGGATATTACTTTTACTTCTAACATTTAACTTTTTTAACTAAGTAAGACTGATATTGCATGGAATAGCAATCATTAGGTTGTCCTATTATGATCTTTGATGTTGAAATGTTGTTGATTTTTATGTTTATGGTAGACATAACATGAAAATGGCTAAATCAGCTGAACAACCTAAAAAAAAATTTCTTACTATTCTAGAATTGTTCATTGTGCTTATATATTCATAAATTTGTGAATATTTCAATTACTAATTAATCACCTTATGCTATTTAAAGTTATAATGGAATTATTACCAGTCTTTATACTGTTCAAGAAAACATTTCATATCACATAATAAAAAACACACACAACAGTAATTACAATAAGCTTTCTTTGCTGAGAATATTTATACATTTCTAGCATACTTATGAAGCTGTCTTTTCTTTCCTCATAGACTGTCAGTCTTGCCCACTTTCTATGTCCCTAAAGATGGCACCCTACACTCTCACATAGAATATATTAATATGTTGCCTTCCTCAGACCTGCCAGAAGCTTTTGGTCAGCACCAAAATGCTGACATTGCTTCTCAAGTTCAAAATGCTTCTCTTCTCTTTGACATACTGTTGTCTCTTCAGCCTCAAAGGTCATCCATGCAAACAGAAGGAAAGGAACAAAAGGTAGTCAGTTTAAACAAAAAATAGAATTTCTAGCATTAATATGACAATTAGTTTAAAACAACTTAATAATAAATTGCAATTAAAAATTTGTCTATATTTTACATATCTGTATAATCAAACGTGAGGGATATCACTTTGGTATTACCTCTACATTTAATTATGTATTTCTTTCTTGCTCTTGCTATGCCTACATGTCTTATAGATATTATTTCTAGGTTGTATACTTGAATGATAACACAATATTTAAGAAATTGATAAAAAAATTGTTTTATGCAGGTGCTCAAGTTAATCTCAGATATCTTAACTAAAATACCAGATTATATTGATTATGAAGGGGCTGTCACTATTGTTGCTGCTGACAAATCACCACTGAACATTGTTCTTCTTCAAGAGGTAACTGTATATTTATTTATTGTTTGCAATATAATATCTTCCAAATAGTTTTTCTTCCCAGGATGTTATAATTTATGTGCAACTTATGGGGTTTTAAAGGTATTAGCCCAAGCTTTAATATTCAAAATAAATTTTGTCAGCACTTTCTTCTAGTTCATCATTAATTCTTATTTGTATTATAACCAGTAATTTTTTGAAAGTAAGCTGTGCCTTTTCTTTAAACCATCTTAGGCTGACAGGGAATATGTAGTGGAAAATGTGCACATTTATTATAGTAGTGTATGTGTGGTATGCAAACATGTACCACATATCTCAGTCTTTTACAGTATATATATATATTTGATATTTACAAACATTTTGTTTTGAAGTTCTAATTTAGCAGATACTAATTTGGTTGAGAATATGTGCCATTTCAACTCTTAGTATTAATTTTTTTCTACCGGATTCAGTCATGGAAGCTATCTGTTGTTTCATGGGATAGTTAATTATGTCCTACATAGCATTGTGGCTGTAGGACTGCTTTATGGGTGCCAAATGTGGCAGAGATACTTCCAGACTCTTACAGTAAGGTTTTGTGAAAGTAGTTTTTGTGCTTCTGCTTTGAAAGTGGTTAAAGCTGCTGTGAAGTGCCATGCTATTATAACATGCCTGCTGGTTCTAACATGTATTCATTTCAGTTTTGCCTCTCAAGTTTTATTCATATGTCAATATTCACATTTTTCAACTTGGAAGATATGCAAAGTACTTGTAGCACACAAAATAAATAGTAATTAGTTGTGTTACTCAAACATACCTTTTTCTTTACTTCAGACTTATTCTCACATTAATATTCCATCCAAACAAATCTTCAAACCTCTCATTATGCAGGGGTGGTTTACCTTAGTTCCATTATTTCTTTAAACAAGGAATACCATGTATTGTGCTTGTTTTTTATTAAAATTTGGTTCTAAGTGTACAAAATTTCCTTTGTTTTTTAAGCCATTGATAACTATATCCTAACAAAATATATGTACAGAATTAATATGAACTTGACAATCAAGCTTAAAGTCATAACATTTATCTTCAGCAATGTGTATTCAATTTTACAACACAGGATTATACAAAGAATATAGCTTAATATAATGTTCACTCAGTATAATTAGTTTCATTTGTGACACTTGGACTTCTTAATGATATACTTATAAAATATAATCATTATCAGTAATACAAATATTTCATCTCACGTTAGATTCAGAGGTATAATTGGCTGATTAGAAACATTCGTAACTCATTGAATGACCTGAAGGCAGCAATAAAAGGTCTTCAGTTGATGTCTTCTGAATTAGAAGAAATATTCTCTTCTTTATACGATGCAAGAGTTCCATCTGTTTGGCTGAAGGTTAGTGTGCTTATTAAAACAGTCTTACCATGATAAGTTTACATTGTACTAAATAATGTAAGTATTAACATTTTCTTTATTGACCTTATGAAAATGCTTTTAAATAAATTACAAATAACCTTAGATCAATTCCAGTGGATCATTTACCATTCTAAATTGTATTTATCATTTAACTTAGTGTAAACATTAAGATAACTGCTTTATCATTTTGCTTTTCATTTTTTTCCATGCCAGTATTTAATAAATGCTAATGTGTATGTATACCTACTTGTGTACTAAAGAATTAATATCATGAGAAATTTACTAAACAAACTTAATTAAGACATTCAGATATATCTTTAGGCCTACCCATCACTTAAGTCATTAGGATCATGGACTAGAGACCTGGTAATGCGAGTTGATCAGATGGCTCAGTGGGGCTTAATTGGACGTCCACCTGTAAAATTTTGGCTAGCAGGATTTACATTTCCTACAGGCCTACTCACAGCTGTACTACAGAGTGCTGCTAGAGCTAAAAATGTAAGTTATATTATGCCTATATAGATAAAATGTAGGCCTATATTAACACTAAAGTTAATAGTGTACTGATTCATAACTCCGTATTGACTAGATTTAACAATGTTGGTTCTGTGAGAGGGAAAATTTGGGCAAACCTCTATATAAACACAAAAGATAACAGTTAAGTTTAAATAGATTACCATGGCAGCAAAATATAATTGTAAGCACTTATACTTATCAGGTTTTATATGGGGCCAGATTCTTTACAGTAGGTGTCTGTGACTTTTTGGTGATAAATTTAAACAATAAATGGACAGCACACAGCCATTTGTTTTAAAATAAATCTTGGTAAAAGAGTTAGCACAAAGGGTCACATATAAAGTGTAATAAACTTAGAATAAGCCCCAAAACTCGAGCACTTTTGAATAGTTGACTATTCTTCTTCTTATTATTCAAAACAAGTTAAATGTATGTACTAAACTTCATTACACTATTGGTTATCACAGTTGTATACAGAACTTTATATAATTCTGTTCTTTGTCAAAGTCTGCACAGGTGGGTTCAATTACTTTAGAACACTCTTTGGCAAGACAAATTATTCTCCTTTATCTCTGTTATTACAAATTAACTCAATCTGTGAAACTCACCTTATAAGTTGCCTGTTAGAGCTAAACTGACATATACTCTAACTTCACATTTACTTTCACTTTCAGTAATTTCACTTGTTTCTGTATCTGCACATATTTAAAACACATGACAAAAGATCTAGAAATATTTAGCTCTCCAGTAACAACAATATTACACATACAGAGAAGATCTTAGAAGCTTCGAGTAAGATGATGTCAATAATATTAGAAAAGCCTAGTACAACAATTAAACTACATACACAACGTACGACTTATACAGAGTTATGTAATGAAACATTTATGCAAAGATCTGAATTAAAATTAAAGATAACGACTAAAGTAAGCTTTGATGTAAGTTTATAAAGACATGTATTAAAATTAAAGATTATGATTAAAGTAAGCTTTGATGTAAGTTTATAAAGACATGTATTAAAATTAAAAATAACGATTAAAGTAAGCTTTGATGTAAGTTTTGTAAAGACATGTATTAAAATTAAAGATAACGATTAACGTAAGCTTTGATTTAAGTTTTGTAAAGACATGTATTAAAATTATAGATTATGATTAAAGTAAGCTTTGATGTTAGTTTTGTAAAGACCTGTATTAAAATTAAAAATAACGATTAAAGTAAGCTTTGATGTAAGTTTTGTAAAGACATGTATTAAAATTATAGATTATGATTAAAGTAAGCTTTGATGTTAGTTTTGTAAAGACCTGTAATAAAATCAAAGATTATAATTAAAGTAAGCTTTGATGTTAGTTTTGTAAAGACCTGTATTGAAATTAAAGATAATGATAAATGTAAGCTTTGATGTAAGTTTTGTAAAGACCTGTATTAAAATTAAAAACAACGATTAAAGTAAGCTTTGATGTAAGTTTTGTAAAGACCTGTATTGAAATTAAAGATAACAATTAAAGTAAGCTTTGATGTTAGTTTTGTAAAGACCTGTATTAAAATTAAAGATTATAATTAAAGTAAGCTTTGATGTAAGTTTTGTAAAGACCTGTATTAAAATTAAAGATTATAATTAAAGTAAGCTTTGATGTTAGTTTTGTAAAGACCTGTATTAAAATTAAAGATTATAATTAAAGTAAGCTTTGATGTTAGTTTTGTAAAGACCGGTATTAAAATTAAAGATAATGATTAATGTAAGCTTTGATGTAAGTTTTGTAAAGACCTGTATTAAAATTAAAAACAACGATTAAAGTAAGCTTTGATGTAAGTTTTGTAAAGACCTGTATTGAAATTAAAGATAACAATTAAAGTAAGCTTTCATGTAAGTTTTGTAAAGATTTTTATTATGATTAAAGATAATTAAAGTAACTTTGATGTAAGTCTTCACTACTACAAAATATAAAAGTATAATTGGTTTCTACACAATAATAAACTTTCATTAGAGGTGGGCTATGTGTGGTCTTGCATTTATCATGCCAGACTGTGAAGCTGGAGGTCCATGGTTAATGTCCCATTGCTACATAACCATGCTTTACATTTTGGGGCCATGGGTGCTTTATAACAGTGATGGTCAAATCACACTATTTAATTAGAATAGCCAAAAAGTTGATGGTGGGTGGTGTTGATGCTGTTTGATAGCTACCTTCCTTTTTGTATATCAGTTCAGAATTAAAGATGATTAGTGCAAATAGACCTTTTACAGCTTGTCAAATAAGCAAACAATCATTGAGCTAATGTTATAACTTTTGCATTGTTTTGTACTAATATTAGGATTAGCAGCTTAAGGGTTGTGTAGATCTGTAATTACAATAAGTTTACAAAATTTGTACTGCCACTAAAGATAGTTGTATTGGTGTAATTAGATATGTACTGCCTTAGAAAGTAATAATGTAGATTTACACAGACCTGTTATGCTGCTAAAAACAGCTATGTCAGTTTTATACAGATCTGTGACGACAAAGTAAATAATAGTTTAGACTTTTATATCAGGTTTGATTACTTTTTAATGCAATATTATGTTGGATTCAGCATAGAATAGACTCTATAGTGTGCTAGAAGGTATATTTTTGTATTATAATCCATTCATTTAGAAGTATGGTCTGTAATTGGAAGAGATACCTGTGACATATGCAATGTACAAGGTCATCCCAATGATACTTAATCAGAACTGAAATATCGTAATTGTGTTGGTTCAGGAGGATAATTAAGTCACTGTTATGCTCCTCAAAACACTTTCAGAAATTCTGAGCAAATCCGATTACTGCATTATCATTTTACAAAAGCTCTTGTCTGTTATTGTGAAAATACAACTTTTGGGGTAAATATGAGTAGTAACAATGTTTGGGTACCTTCTTGGTGTTTTGGGTTTGTAAAGGAAACAAAGGGCTCAACTACTGCATTACACCACCTTCTGTGGTTATATTTTATGTTAATACAGATAAGGGTGAAACACAACTCTTTGGTTTAGTTCACACGTTTACTACTCAGTCACTGTTCACAGTTTGTGCTTTAAACACCACTAAAGCCATGCTTTCTTGTTTCTATCTCAAATAGGTATTTTTTAAATTTCTGTATAACACTTCTTTTGATATCCTTTGCCTGTTACAGTTGAATATATCTCAATCCTCTCCACTGTTAAAGGAATCTGTCAACCTGAACACAGTTTGATGTCTGTTCCACTTTACAAGCCAGTCACTAGCAAATGGAGACTACAAATCTTTGTAATTACAGAGATATTTCCTTTTTTGTTGCCATAGTTATTAGTCTGATGGCAAATATCTTTGAATAGCTGGACAAAGAACTATTCATTGATATAAAACTTCCTAATCAATGGACATTCACTTTAATTATTTCCCATTTTCTCTTAGTCTAAACATGCTATGACTACCTGTCTACTTTTATAAGCAATGATCAGTCTTATGTTAGTTATGCAAATACATTAAGTGTTCTTCAAATGTGTATATGGACAAGGCTAATGTTCTAATAAAGTGACTAGTCATTGTGTAACAGTATAAATTTTTAAAACTCTTTTAATACCATAACAGTTTTCATATATCTTTACTGACACTATGTGTAGCAACCTTGTTTTTTATTTTTATAATATGTCCCTCCACTAATGATATCAAGGTTGGTTGTATAGAAACCTGTACTGTCATTTGAGCCAATATTGTAATTTAGAATTGGTTTGAGTTCATAATTAAAATAATTCTGTCAGGTGAATAGATCAATCTTCTGTACTATCAAAAAGGATATTTTTAGACGTATGTAAAGCTGTATACTGTCAATTACTATCATTGTGAAGGTTTGTACAGCTATTTACTGCCAATTAAGATGATTTTAAAGATATATAAACCTCTATAATGCCAATTAAAATAATTGGGAGGTATGTAAAGATTGATACTGTCAAGTAAGATAATTTCAGACAAAGTGCCTTACTTCCACTCACATAAATAGCTATTCTTGTTCAGTGCTACCCTCTATTTGCAAAAACATTTTCGCATGCCACAAGCCTTTCTCTCCCACACACTTCTCGATTCACTTGGTCTAACTGATTCTTACATGCAAACTTTCATGCGACAAACCTCCACCAATAAAAGTGCAACACACCCACATGACTCATGTGACTCCCTCTATGCTGTTTTACCTAACTGTCACTTCTTGTTTGGCAGTGTTTGTGTTTAGACGTTCAGTTTGTGCTCTTTTCAAGTTTTTATTTTAATCTTCCTATTGGTTTACTTTTATTGAATTTACTACTTATTATCCATTAATACTAATTTGTAACTTATTCCGAAGTGGAATTATTATACATTTCTACCCAGTTACGGAATTCATACTGTGAGATCAACTAGGCCTAATATGTATTTTTTTTTTACATGATTTCATGTGTATGTTCTGTCTTACACTTCTCCCCGATTTCCTATAATCCTCTCCCATCCTTGTTAATGATACTCCTTCCTCTCAGTATTTTGTTTCATCCTTCCCCTGAGATTGGGGTTCATGTTGAGCATTTTATATCTCAGTTATATGAGGGAGCTAGCATGTCTCGTCCTCTGTGAAATTCGGATCACTTTGTTTTAGTCTACCATCAGGATGATTTTCCATTCCTTGATTCTGAGCACCTAGAATCAATTTTACCCTACTGGAGGGCAGACCCTGATTATCCTGTTCGTTTATCCCATGTCCAATTTTCTTGCCTTTGCCTTACCCTCACATCTATTCTGTGGTACTTGTCCACCATCCACTTCCTCTTTGAGGTGATTCTCCATGATCCTGAGGGTTTTTTTGGGGATACATTCACCCTAATTACATCCACATTGGCATGTTTATAGACTTTGGCTTTTTCTTCTCACACATGGTTCTTCTGTTGTTGGGATCTTTTGGGACGATATGCAGTATTGTACCACCTACTTACTTTAGGGACTTACGCTTGGCCCCTTTTCTCCATAGGTTGGTATTTGGAGATCATCCAGAGTGGAATAAGTGAGACAACACTCAACTTACTCATCCTCAGTTGATCATTTATTTCACTCTGAGCCTCAATCATCCTCTATTTCTGTTTCCCGTCTTAATCCTTCCTATCCTTTACCTATTCCTTCCTCAAGGAGATTTTCCTCTCATCATTTTATTCAGTGCAAAATGTCACATCACAAACAGTAGCGGAGACTACCCTGTCAGATTCGGCCCAGTGGGGGCTCATTTATCCAAGTTTGTTCCTCATTGGCGGTAGTTTGCCAAGGTTCTATTGGTTCTTTAGATTTTATATGAAGGACTTGTCATCAACTTCCTCTTCCCTCCCCCATTATCTTGGATAGATATTTCCTTTCTTTGGCCTCCGGATTCTACCACCAGTCATTGTCTGTCTGAAGGAGTACAGGATATTATCTCTCAGAATACCATCGAAGTTGTCATTCACCCTTCTCTGGAGTTTTATTCCATCCAGGGTGCTCATAGTACCCAAGACAACTGGAGACTGGTGGCCTGTGATCGATCTGTCCCACCTCAATTGCTTCTTGGTGCTACCTCGCTCTACCATGAAGTCATTTCTCACCCTCTGGCGAGCTTTTTATGGATGACCAAAGTAGATGTCTCGAATGCTTATCTACATATTCCTCTATCTCATCTGTCAAGGTGCTATCTTTGGTTTCTTCATCACAGGGTGGTTTATCTATTTCCCACTCTCCCTTTCAGGCTTGCTTCAGCACCATATGTCTTTTGTCAAGTTTTCAAGGCTTTTGCCAGATATATGCACACTCAAGGGTTGCATTTACACCATTACATGGATGTCTGGCTACTATTGGCTCAATCTGAACTGCACACTCGTCTGCTTCTTTTGGATGTGGCTCAAGCTGGAGGAGTCCTTTCTTGTACCTATCCAATATCTTATCCATTTGGGTGTTCTTTTCGACACTCATCTCAACCCAACCATCTCCTCTTTGACTCCATTTGACTGAGCTGACAGTTCTCAATACCCTTACTGCTCCTTCTGTTACTGCTCCCGAGATCCTATCTCGTTTGGGGATGTGAAACTCTATTGCAGCACTTATTCCCATGGGTCGTGCTCATACGAGATCTCTTCAATGGACTCTCCACGACCAATGGAACCTTGTGTGGGATCCCTTGGATGTTCCTATTACCTTTCCTCCTTCCCTTGTAGATGATCTGCATTGGTAGTTGGACGTGGCTCACACATCAACAGGTGTTCCACTTCCTCCACCTTACCCAGCTTACCCAGATTTATATATTTTCACAGTTGCTTTGCTTAATGGCTGGGGGGGGGGGAGGACTGTGGGTCAAGCAGCAGATAGCTTCAGATCAATGGTCTCTGACCAAGTTGGGCATACCATATCAATATCTTGGAGCTTCTCACTATACGTTAGGCTTTGGATCATTTTCTTCTTCTTGCCAGCAATTGTCTGGTTATGGTCCATTCCAACAATTCTACGGTGGTGGTGTATTTCAATCACCAGGGAGGCACCCATTTTAGTTCCCTTTGTGGTTGAACATTTTATCTCCTTGTTTGGGCCCACAAGTACGGTATTCATCTCCTTAGTGTCATTTAACGGGTGCTTTCAACCTTGTTGCAGATTCTTTCCCACCCTGACAAAATTTACCTGATGGAATGATCTCTAGACCCTCAAGTTTTCTTGTGGTTATGCAACTGGTGGGATACTCTGCATCTGGATGCATTTACCACAATCCTCAATGCCAAGTTACCTTGATTTTGGTCTCTGTTACCTCATCCACTTGCACTGGCTGTCGATGCATCAGTCGAGATTGGCAACCTCAGTCACTGGTAATTCATCCAGCTCTTCCTACCCTTTGTCTTCACGCCTGGTTTTTATCCAGTCCTTGGCAAGGAGATCTGGTTTGTCATGGCATATAGCTTCGTTTTTAGCACATTCCATTCGCCCTTCCTCCATGGAGGTTTATTAGCGTAAGTGGAACATTTTCGAATGTTGGTATTTGGGTTGGGGATTTTCCCCTACTTGTCCCACTGTTCCTATTATTACGGATTTCCTCACTTGGCTATTTGATCAGGGGACTTCTGTGTCCTTGACTGCAAATTATCAGGCTGCCTTATTCCACACTTTTCGTTTTTCCCAGTACCATAAAGTTTTTACCTCTCATATCTTATTACTATTGTTGTGTTCCTTCCAGATTATTCAACCTCCAAGGCGTGAGATCCTTCCAGATTGGGATGTCAATGTAGTGCTGCACTGCCTTTTTTTTACCTCTGTTTGAACCTATGCTATCTTATGCCATGTTTCAGTTATCCCTTAAGACATATTTCATAGGTGAGACTGTTACTGGGTAAGTTTCTTTCTTTTGTTGTATACATTATTTTCAGGGGCCTGTCCTAGGTTTCTACCACAGTCCTGCACTGTAAGGCCATGTTGACTTAACTTTCAAAATTTCCATGGCCACAAAACACACACTGTTCATTACAATCACATAAACTAGAGATAATGTGTTCCACAAGATTGCTCTTAGGTTATTTCTCACAATATATTTGCTTCATAAATATGTCCCTTCTAGACTGTACTAGGGGATTGCTGCCTATCCATGTCATTCCTTAGATTGAATAAATCAGGTTTGGTCTGCTTTTCAAAATAGGGTTTTGTGGTTGTCCATTGCACTATCTCCATGGTGGACGTTCCTTCAGACTCTCCACTGCATTTTCCTCCCCTGTTTCTTCCAGTGCAGTACAAAAGTCCTTACCACTTTCCAGTTCCAAGCCTCTGGGATGGTGGACCATGGAGGTGTCCTCCTGAATGAGAGATATACAATATAGACTCCATTCAGTTGAGAGTAGGGTAATGGTGTTCTGCTGGTGTAGATGATATGTCCTCCACATAGACCACCATCTCTGCACGAATTTGTCCGAGGGGATGTTGTAGCTTTGGAGTGAGCCATCATAATGATTGGGATCCTTCATCTTCCCCCCTCCCCCTATGGAAGATGGTTCCTGGCAGTTGAATTTTGGAGTTAGAGCTGAACAATTCAATATGTTGTCCATTCATGTTGTGAAGATTGGGATCCCTCATCCTATCCCCACATGGATGCTGGTTTCCAGCAGTTGAGTTTTGGATTTAGAGCTGAACCAATCAACATGATGTACTCACACATGTAGTGTGCCGGTATAAGTGCAGCTTACCCCTACAATTGGGATCCCTCATCCTACCCCTACATGGAAGTTGGTCTAGTTTTAGATTTAGGGCTGAACCACTGAGCCAATCCACATAAGTCCTACACATGTGTTCAGGGTGTTCCTGGTCTCTCATTCACTTTGCCTTAAGTGAACTACCCCAGTGTTGTGGGTTACGGGGGATGCACTTGTTGGTTACTCTGCCTCTTTCTCTTGCACTACCCCTCAATGTCTTTAAGTCGAGGATGTTACTGCGTTTGGAGTGGTTCAAGTCTGTTTGATTTAAGTAGGACATAGCACATTACAAGGACATCTTTCTTGCTTCTGTTTGTCTAGAGGTTGGATTCCTGGTACAATATATATATATCACTGTTCAAATGTGCCCTGTTCACAGATCGGTGTTGTCTGAACTTGAGGTTAAGATGGTATGATTATCTTTCCTACCCCTGCATGGATGTTGGCTCCCAGTGGTTGAGTTTTGGATTGTGGTTGACTTGCTGTGTGTATGGTCTGCCACATTCTAGCCACTCTACATCTTGGGGAGATTAAACTTATTATATGTTGTGGTTTGAATCACTGTCCAACCTGTGTTTTCATGCTTTTTTCCATGTCTGGGCAAAAAGTATACCTGCCACAGAAGTGGTGCAGTCTCCTACTTATAATTCTCTTATTAGTGGGTTCCTTTGTTAGGGTGCCCTTTGGATGCTTTCAAAGGATACTTCTACTTTCTTCTTTGTACCAGTCCCTCCACCTATTCAATATGGGATTCTAGCTATGTATGTAAGACACCTTGTTGGAAGTTATAATTTTCTTATACTGAAAATATATTTCTGACAGGTACTTACTTCCACTCACACTTCCAACCTATCCTCTCCACTGTCAACCAGTGCTTAAATTTCTGCCTAAACTCAAAATGATAGTTAGGTAAAATAGCACAGAGGGAGTCACATAAGTCATGTGGGTGTGTGGCACTTCTGTTGGTGGAGATTTGTCACATGATAGTTTGCATGTGAGAATCAGTTTAACCATGTGAATCGAGAGGTGCATGGGAGTGAAAGGCTTGGGGCATGCAAAAAACATTTTGCAAATAGAGGGTAACACTGAATGAGAATAGCTATGTATATGAGCATAAGTAATTATCTGTCAGAAATACATTTTCAGTATAGGAAGATTATAACTTTGAAGGTTTTTTTGTAGGTTTGTACTGCCATTAAAGGTTTGTATGGGTTTGTACTTCTAACAGAATTGCAAGTAGCAATAACTAAAAATTTTGTATAAATCACCTTAAAAGCAATGGTGTATATATGTGTGTGTGTGTGTTTATATATTTATAGTGTGCTGAAACTAGAGGAAACAGTTTGAGTTTTGTATAGATTTGTTAAATTTAACATTATATATTGCCATTAAATTTAACTAGCTTTAAACTTTTCACTGTAGATGCCAATAGATGGCCTGTCTTGGGAGTTTATAGTCTCCAATAGAGAAGAGGGTCATATCACAGAACACCCAGAGGTAAAAATTGTAAAATATTTGTAAAAGAAATCAAGGTAATTTGTTTAAAAATAGTCTGTTGAAAACGTATTACACCGATTTCTGTGTTTTGAAATAGACTTTTAAGCAACAATTCAATATCTGTTATATAATGACTGAGCTGGTTGAAACTGTTTTAAGTTGGTAGACATAAAGTGAATCAAGTGTTAAGGAAACAACTTGTGATGCTAGATGCTCAGTGGTAACTGGGATTTTTAGCTGTGACTCTAATAAATAACTATTTTACTTTCTTGTTAGTTTCTGTGTAGTTGTCTTTGTGACAACTGTAAATTTATTATGATTTTAGAAGTTTAACTTAAACTATGTTAGAATTTTGCAAATCCTAAGACATTTAGAGACCTTAACCCAAAAGATGTTTAAATTTTATATATGTGCCTATAACTTTTTTATAGAAAGGATCATTGAAAATATCTGTATTTGAAATTAAAATTTTACTAGAAGTTTACTATGATATTGTCAGAGTATTATACAATCTTGTGTTTATTCTATAAGGAAACATTGTATCATGTATGCTTTCAGAATGCTGTCAGCACAAAAAAAGCTAACTGTAACTAGAGAATACCAGATGAATTGTGTAAAGCAATGTTATTTTTTTGCTAAGAGCCCTTAAGTATGCAAGAAATATGGCAAACATGAGTAATATTTTACTCTAGTAGAAAAACAATTGTTATATTTAAACAATGACAGTTTACCAATACAAAAGTTCTAGAATTTAAAAAGTTTTGTAAAATAATAAAAGTAGCAGTTTGGATATAAAAACACGTTACCCTGAATATAGTAGTCAGTAAAAAACTAAAAAACAAACAATAAACTAACGCATGAAAATAGTCAAAATGACTGTATAAAATAAAGGTCATAATATGAAAAATTGGAATAGATCTAATGTTCTCTAGGAGCTGTCCACAAAAAAAAACATTATTGCTTGGAATTAATCATATATGTATCATAATATATTTGAATTTATTATGTTAATATCTGTAATAAATTAATTCCTATTGCCTTACCTGTAAATACATGTTGTGGTTGATCACTGGAACTCATGCTTGATCACAGTATCATGAGTATCTTAGGAGCCACCACTGTATATTTTAAATATAAACAAATAATTTAATAACAACAAGGGACCTGTTGGTCCATCTAGGCCATCCCACTTGCTAAACTTCACTTTAAAATAAAATTAAAACACTCAAAGCTAGCCCATATCATTCACAACACTTTTTTCTCTTAAACACACTTCAATTTACTGCCTCCATCACCTTTGACGGCAACCCATTCCTAAAGCCAACTACCCTGTTAGAAAAATAAAGCTGTCACAGCTGAAGATGGCTCTTACCCTGCCAAAGTTTTGTCCTACTATTCTTACCATTAAGTATGAAAGAAAATTAAGCATCAACACTATCATTTCCCTTAACAATATTAAACACCTCAATCAGATCCCCTCTAACTCTTTTTTTTTTCAAGAGAAAAATAATTTCAGAGATCATAACCTCTCCTTGTATGACAATCCTTGAATCCCAGGTATCATCCTAGTAGCCCTTCTATTAAATCTTTCCAACAATTTAATGTCCATCCTAGGGTAAAACACCCAAGACTGAACACAATACTCCAGATGTGGCCTAACCAATGACCTATACAATGAAATAAATTATAACTTCTTTAGGCTTGCATTCATTATTTCTGTAGATGCAAAATAAAATCCTGTTTGCCCTGCTACTAACAACAGCACATTGCTGGAATGGCATAAGAGATTAATCAACTAGAACATCAACATTATTTTCTTCCATAACATTTATAAGGTTATTATCATCAAAATTATACTCATAATTCTAGTTATATCTCACATGCATTACCTTGTATTTATTACCATTAAAAGCCATCTGCCATTTATTTGATGAACTCACCAAATAATACAAATTATTTTGTAAAGCATTAGCAGCAGCATTTTCACAGCCTGAATTTATTTATCATAAATTTTATTAATTTTCCTACTTAGGTTTATATATTTTTTGTTTATAACCAACCTGCATGATGTATTAATTAGTATTTTGTTACTCAAGTAGAAATGTGGTGAGATGTACTGATTCTTAATTATTAACACAAATAGGAAAGTGTTAGTTCTGAGTAACACTTCTTTTACTCAAGGTAAAATGTGATAAATTTTATAATTACTCAGATAATAATTCGGTGCTTAATAAAATGTGTGTTAAATTTTACAATCAGTAAGAAATAGATGTGATAAATTTTACATCTAATCATTACTTGGGAGAAAATTATTAAACCTATGTATATCATTCTGTAGTTATTACAGTGTGTTAATTAAATTTTACACACATTCTTTACTCAATAAGAAATATATTAACTTTGAATCTTAATGTAGTTCTTTACATTTGAGGAGAGAGATTAAATCTAATCATATATTTTTACACAGTTTAGTGTGTTTATGTTTACAGTCATTTTCTACTCAGTGACATTATTTCTGACTGGCTTAATATTTCTTTACTCAAAAGAGAATGTGTTATAAATGAGGCACATGTAACTCTGAGTATTTTTATAGTTCTTTATGGAAAAAATAATAAAACTGTGAAGCTTGATTAACTGTTCTTGCATGATTCTGGAAAGTTTTTGTTAATCTGAATACTAATTATTTTCTTTGGAAGAGAAAATGTTTAAGCAGTTATGTACTAATTTTTTACTTAGGTAGGAATCTATGTGCGAGGCATATACTTGGAAGGAGCAAATTGGGATTGTAAAGCCTCTTGTCTGATAGAACCTGAACATATGAAACTTGTTAACCAAATGCCTGTCATACACTTTAAACCTGTTGAAAGCAAAAGAAAAACTCAAAAAGGTGAGTTAATATTTTAATTTATCCTCATACTTAACCATTTTAAAGCCACTTTTATTTAAAACGTGGAAATCTAAACGGTTTTAAAATTAGTTTTTATTTAATAGTGTGAATACTAGAATAAAGAACTTATTTTATAAAGATAACATAAACACTTTATTTAGTCATTATTTAGGGTTAAGCCTTTTTTAAGGTAATATTTTTATAATAAATATAGTAAAAAATTTTTTTGGAGCTTAAGTCATTAATGGTTTTGTTTTTCATTACACTCAGTGCATGTATGTGTAATAATTCGTAGAAATTAACAAATAATGATTTGTTTTATCATTTCTTGCTGCTTAAGCTCCATAGTAAAAACTAACAGTCTAAATGAAAACCCATTGAAACACATGCAGTTTGAATGAATTCTTTCATATCATATGGTACACACACACACACACATTTGTTTCCACAAATGTCTATAGAGTATATTAAATAACAAATGCAAATAATTTCTAAGTATAAACTTCATAAGATTATTTCAATGATATCACAATAAATATGTTTGTATTTATACTCTTCTATGGACAAGGAACTTATCACTGCAGCAAGCCAACTGTGACATGGATATGATGAAAATTAATAATTTGTCAGGATTAGCCTTTTTTAATATATGTATGAAACTGATAGATTACATTCATTTATAAATGCATGGTCTCCCATGGGTCCAGTGGTAATTCTTCAGATTTAAAACACTAAAATCAAGGGTTCAGTTCCCCTTGGTAGACACTACAGATAGCCCAATGTGGCTCTGCTATGATAAAACACACACACACACACATAAAGGTATGTATATGCATATTTAACTCTTGTAAGTACATAAGTTGCAGCAAGTTATGTTTATTAATATAACAATATTAACCAACTTTTAATCTTTTAGAAATATTTCTTAAGTATAAGTATTAGTTAAGTAATATATGAAACTTCAGTGAACTAATACTGTTGTTATTTTTTTCACTTAGGCACTTACCTTTGTCCTTGTTTCTATTATCCCAATCGTTCAGGAGATGGCAATCGACCTTCATTTGTTGTAGCAGTTGAACTCCGCTGTGGTGCTGAGCCTGCCGAACATTGGATTACACGTGGCACAGCTCTCTTGTTAAGTCTCACTACATGAATATTTCTATCGGTGATGAGGATTGAAGCTGCAAACCCTTTAGTGGCATTATATTTACTTAAAAGAAAAATTGAATTAATGTAGGTTTATCAGTGGATTGTAAAATACAGTGGACAAATCAATTTATCACTTAATTAGAGTTTAAATTATTAGAAATTTTAGGGATCAACTTAACAATGGATCAGAAATGAGCTTTACTGTCATTCAGGAATCAACTTGTTTTATTGTGACAAGACATTAAAAATATACTTATTTATGGAAGAGAAATACACTTAATAGTCAGTTATAGATCAATTTAACAGTAAACCAAGGATCAACTTTTGAATAAGCAAGTAACCAACTTCATTGTGGGCAAAAAAATCAACTTACTAATTAGTTACCAAAGTTAATATCAAATCAAAGTTTCACAAGTATGTATTTAATCTATAATTTATTTTCTAAAAATATGTTCTTCCAATCCAGTTCATGATAGAAACAAAAAAGAACACTTTTATTACTATATACATATATATGTTTCTAAAATTGTTTAAAAATCCACTAGTATTTTATTAATTTTACTGTCTCGCAAGAATTGAAAATCAACAGCAATTGAAATAGGAACATTGAGGTTCTATTGATGAATCTAGTCATATCATAGACTGTTCTCAGTGTGTTATAGTTGGATATCAGTTAGTTATTCCTTGTCTTTTAAAAGGCCATTATTAGTTCATATATTTATGTATATTAGTGTTATAGTGTTTGACATATTTTTATTCAAATAAATTGTGTTATTGGTTTTATGTTATGTACCTGTTTCATTAAATTTACTGTTTTCACATGTATTATAATGAGATATGTAATATACATAAGTGCTATCTTTTTTATTTTGTGAAATTACACTTAAACTTCTAGTTCTACAATTATATTCAAACATGAAATTTTCAAAACACAGATTTTATTTTTAGAACATTGACATTTTTGAGAACAGTATTACAAATTTTTTAAATTTATTTATTGCTATTGTAAATTTAATCAGAAATAGATTACAATTAAAGCACCATAACTTCTTATTTTGTCTGTCATGTAGGTTAAAAAAAAGGAAAATAATCAGTTATATTTTAGTAAGGTAAGTCTCAACTTCTTCATCACCCTTATTTATTAAATTTTTCTTACAAAGTGACTTTTGTCAATTCATCATTTTGATATTTCAGTTTGCTGTTATTTGTTAATAAAAGCAAGACTACATACAGTTTTGTATTGAACTTCTCAATCATTATCCATGTGTGTGTATAACTATATATATATTATTTTTTTTTCAACATAGTGTTGTAAACAAAAACGATTACACATCTTCTATCACAATTACTAAAGCAGCTAAGTAAGAAGAAATTATTTTCTAAACATAGACAAAAGATTTTAAACTTATAGATGGCAATAGGTAGCCTTTAGTAGCTTTGCCATAAATACAAAAAAAAAACACTTAAACAAATTACAAATTGAATTTAATAACGACAAACAAAATTAAAGTACAGAATAACTGAAAGTACTACAAAACTGGGCAAACTAAATAACAGTAAATTGAGTCAAGTGAAAACAAAATGGTTAAAAAAAATTATATTTATTAGCTTTTTGGGAAAGGTTCAGGTGAGGGCTACTAAAATGATTCTGGGGATAGGTTAAAATTTGTAACTTATTTTCTTGAAAAAGAGTTGAACTGTTGAAGATTATCTAAAGGCCCCTGATTTCTTTGTGCTTAATTCTAATAATCCAGGTTTTAAAATTTGGTAAAGACAAGTGAGACTACAGTTAAGACTTTTGTCTGAAAGGATAATTTACTGTGATTATTTTATGGAATAAGTGCCATCAGTAAAAGTTAGACCAGCATCTAACAAGAGCTTAAGAGACGACTCAAAGGGGAGAGCTTAATTGTTGCTTTTCTTTTCGGAGGGTGGGAGGTATCCAAAGACAATCTTGAAGTATCAAATTCCCTCATATTGTCTGTATGTCATATTAAAACTGTAAAAGAAAGAGCAAGATGGAAAATTTAAGGGGCCATTCATTTCATGAAATAGAAATAAAATACATCTCAAAGTTAAGCAAAATGAATTTAACTTGTTACTTTATTGCCATTTTTTAAGCAGTAATTCTCCAGATGGACCAATCAACTACCCTAAATATCTCTCATGAAGCAAATTACATCCTGTTGTATCTGGTGGTTCTAGCATCTAGATAGTGATCCCTGCCACTGCTCCTTCAGGTTCTAGAAGTGGTGCCATGGACTTTTCATGAAGGTTGAGAAAAGAAAATGGTCATATTCTTCTTAGTCTTTCCTTTAAATGTTGAGGATATCTTTCTTCAGTTAGGGATCTTGTGATATTACTCACTGTGTAGTGCTATCTCCAATTGATATATATCACTATGCTGGTGCATTCCTGCACTAGACACTTGTGGATTGTAACAGATGTACCAGTTGAGGATCCAATTAGAATTTAATACTCTGACATCTGGGTAGCAAGCAGCAAACAAGGCTTTCAATGGTTGGCTACATCTACCAAAGTAATGGCTTGCAAAGTTAGTCTTTGATCAGTGGAACTACATGATCTGTAGTCAAGGGTGGATCGGGTGAGCTGTCTGAATCTATTGCCAGGTTTTTCTACTGGTTACACTGTTGGAAGCAAGATAACTAATGGTCAGGAATAATGTCTTTATGCATCTTTAATTTAAAACTTAAAATCAGCCTAACCTGTGATAGGTTCAGTACTTGAAGTGAGTGAAAAGAGGAAGCAGGATGGTTTGTGAAAGTTTTGAAGCTGAAAAAACAATGGCAGGATGGTTTGTGAAAGTTTTGAAGCTGAAAAAAACAATGGCGGGATAGTTTGTGAAATTCTGGAACTTGGAAAAGAAAAAAGAGCCTAATTGGATTGTGTATGATTTTAGATTAGGCCAACATGAATCATTCTGAAATATACACTCTGAATTTTTATAGTTTATTAACTAAATTTGTTACATTGTTGCTTTGTGTCACATTTTATCACCCATCCTCTCTTCTAACAAGTCAGCTCTATTACTTTGACCAAGGCATGTTTCAAGGGTCATAATGCATGTTCTTATTCCTGATTTCACACAAAGTCCATATCAATCTTAGTTAATGCAGAAATTGGCCACAAACCTTTAGCAATACAACACAAAATCTTGTTTGATCTCAAGCTGGGGCCTGTCTTTGACATTTGTGAACTTCGCAGGATCAGTAGACACTACATCCCTGGTCAGTATGTGACCAAACAATTACTTCTTTGTAGTTGTGTAAATTCTATCCTGGTTTCTGTTTCAAGCCTGTATCTTTTTTGCACAAAAATATCCATCTCAGGTTCTTGACAGTGGCCTGAAAGATGTTACCAAAAACTAGATGTCATCAATATAGATGATACTTTTCTCCCATTGCAGTCCTCTAAGTGTAAGGTCTGTCAGCCTCTCGAAAGTGGCAGGTAATTACAAGGTCTTTTCTGAGTGATAAAAGCAGTCTTAGATATATTTTTGTCCTTCAGTTCGACTTGCCATTACTTGGAAGCCAAATCTATTGTACTGAATCAATAGGTGCCTTCCAATGCATCAACACATTCTTTTGTATGTATCAGCAGAAAGGCATTGATATGTGTTACTACATCCATCTGCCTAAAATCAATAAAGAATCTTTCTTTTAGAAAATCACTAATGAAGACAATCAAGCACCTTCCATATGTTACACCGTTTCTTCCTTCAAAATTTGCTGAAACTCAGCATAGCAACATTATTTGTGTTTCAAAGAAACTTATGTATTAGTTGTTTTAACAGACACACTTCTTATGTATGTATGTGCTTACATGTGATTACTTTCTAACTCAGTCAGCCATCCTGTCCCATGAACACATCAGCAAAATCTTTGAGCAATTAATTGAGTTCATGTCTCTTTACTGAGTTCAAAATTGTTAACACAATTCTCAACTAGAGAATTCAGGTGCTTTTGAAGCTTTGTGTGTTCTTGGATTGGTTTATATCACTTCCTCTATTAATATGTCAGCCATTCCTTATGAGTGCTGAATTGCTAAATATTCATAGTTACAGAATATTATGTACAACGCCAGCAATTTAAAAGATAACTGTTCTATTTTGGTTTGATTATACCGTCAAAGAAGATGGCAACAAGGAACTAAACACTATCCATAGTGCACCACAGAACACTTCTAAATTCAGGGTATCACTACTACTACCTCCTTCTCAATATGCATGCCTGCATTTACTGTTTTTGAAGCCAATCTGTTCACCACTGGATGATTTATTAATCCTCTTTACCTGACTGACAACCTTCACTGTTGGTCCATTCTTTAGAAATTAGTACCTCAACCTAGGTAAGAATTACCATCACTTGACAAGCATGAATGTTGTGGCAAAACTAGGGGTGCTCCTTTCCAAGCAGGAGCTTCTTCTCTCACATTTTTGCCACCTTCAGGAGCCCAACTGCTGTTACATCTGTGGTTGCACCATGATGCCTTGTCATTTTTGTTGCACTGTAGATGTCACTCAACACTTCTGTTGAGCCTTGTGAGCCATCATGTAAGTTGTTACTGTTTTTGGTATCTTCCTGTGCTCCAGTGTCCTTAGAAAAACTGTCTCCTTTAGAAATGAGATGTTCCTGAAACCCATGTGGCAATCCCTTGATAAGGTTATCAATGAGTATCTTATCATGATCACCAGGATACATGTTGAGGAATGCCTTCCCTTGCAACTTTCTAAGGTCATCTATTTAAGTGATTATGTTTGAACTCAATTGTATGGATTGATCATTCTTCTACATGATCAAACATGTGGTACAACTAATTGACAATCATTCCTTGTACAAATATCCTTAGACATCGTGTACCACTCACCTTGACTAGGAATCAGAAGCTGCTCTTCCATTCTAATCAAAAGCCTTTTATGAAGTTTGGGGAATTGTCCAAATTCTTCTTTGTTGGTTGTGAAGGCTCTTTATTTCCTCTAAGCATTTGCTGTATCGTGGCACAGTACTGGCTGCTCTGCCTTACAATGTTATGGCAAACATTGTCCACTACTTTCATCTCACCAATTTCCTCAGCTATGGGTGTATGTGTGTGGTATTCTCAGATACACTGATTCCCTCAAAGGAGTATTCGGGTGAGAGCCACAGAATAACAGAAGGTTTCAACATATAATGTATTAGGGAGTGAAACTAAATTCTGTGACCTTGACTGAATTATGATCCAAAACAAAAGAAACCGGACACATTGTAAAACCTAATGAGAAAATCTTTATTAAGTATAAGAACAATCAAAGTTCAACAAGTGTATTTCATGGAGCCTTTACTGAAGAATTCTCAAAAAAAAAAATCTTAAGAAGTAGCATCAAACTTGTTCCAGACTGAGAAACCATAGCATTATATGTATCAAACAATAATGCTATTTTTCTCAGAACACACGTGCTAACCATGTGACTTATGATAGTTGTTACTGCAAAATGAGGGAGGTTTTCTTGAGGCATCACCTAACTGGTAGTGGAAAAGAGTCCGCTTCTACATAACATTTTCTACTTTACTGAATTTTTTCCACAAGAAAGTGTACATGACACCCCTAGTTGAATAAGTTTATTTTAGATAAGGAGGGGGAAACATGTAGTATTCCTGCATACTGTGAGCATATCAAACCACTGTATGACAGTGTTTGGACTAGTTAATGAATGCTCTGGAGTCTCATAAAGAACACCAAGTAAGTTTTGGATGTTCAAGGTCATAATCATCATAACTCGTCTT